TGTGTGAGTGAGTGTCTGAGTAAGTGTGAGAGTGAGTGTGTGAGTGAGTGTGTGTGTGTGAGTGAGTGTGTGAGTGTATAAGGGAGTGTGTGAGGGAGTGTGTGAGGGAGTGTGTGAGTATGTGTGTGTGTGAGTATGTGTGTGTGTGAGTATGTGTGTGAGTGTGTGTGTGTGTGAGTGTATGAGGGAGTGTGTGAGTGTGTGTCGCCACAATAAGATGTGAAGCCACACAACATAGGTCACTATAAAATAAAACTTTGTACCCGGCGACTGAGGGTGAAAATAATCATGAGGGTGAAAGTGAAAGACTAAATGCAATAACGAAGATAGTGAGAAATGAGTGTGACGCTGAAAGTGAGAAGAGTGAAAATTGAGATTTGAGGGTTGCTAGTGAGGATGATAGCTGAAGATGATAGTGAGAAGAACATGATGGGGCCCCCACCAACCTCCCCTACACACGTAATAGCTGAGATGAGAGAGAGAGGGGGGGGGGAGAGAGGGGAGGGACTTTGCACTTTTTTAAGTGTGTTAATACACTTAATGAGACACTTAAAGAGCGCAAAGGTAATGTTTAACTTGGAGAGGAGAACATTGCTCTCTTGGCCCATGTGAGGGGCTCTTGGTTTACTCTTGGACCATGTGAGGGACTCTTGGCCCATGTGAGGGGCTCTTGGGCCACTCTTGGCCCATGTGAGGGGCTCTTGGGCCACTCTTGGCCCATGTGAGGGGCTCTTGGGCCACTCTTGGCCCATGTGAGGGACTCCAAGTGTGAGACTGAGTGGTCTTCTTTCACAATAATCTTTCCTGCTGCTGATTTAGACAGCCGCTTTCATGTTGTGGCCCGTCCTCTCTCATACACAACATGGCCAACATACTCTCATACACAACATGGCCAACATACTCACATACACAACATGGCCAACATACTCTCATACACAACATGGCCAACATACTCACATACACAACATGGCCAACATACTCACATACACAACATGGCCAACATACTCTCATACACAACATGGCCAACATACTCACATACACAACATGGCCAACATACTCTCATACACAACATGGCCAACATACTCACATACACAACATGGCCAACATACTCTCATACACAACATGGCCAACATACTCACATACACAACATGGCCAACATACTCACATACGCAACATGGCCAACATACTCACATACACAACATGGCCAACATACTCACATACACAACATGGCCAACATACTCACATGCACAACATGGCCAACATACTCATACACAACATGGCCAACATACTCTCATACACAACATGGCCAACATACTCACACACACAACATGGCCAACATACTCACATACACAACATGGCCAACATACTCTCATACACAACATGGCCAACATACTCTCATACACAACATGGCCAACATACTCTCATACACAACATGGCCAACATACTCTCATACACAACATGGCCAACATACTCTCATACACAACATGGCCAACATACTCTCATACACAACATGGCCAACATACTCTCATACACAACATGGCCAACATACTCTCATACACAACATGGCCAACATACTCTCATACACAACATGGCCAACATACTCTCATACACAACATGGCCAACATACTCTCATACACAACATGGCCAACATACTCTCATACACAACATGGCCAACATACTCACATACACAACATGGCCAACATACTCTCATACACAACATGGCCAACATACACACACAACATGGCCAACATACTCTCATACACAACATGGCCAACATACTCACATACACAACATGACCAACATACTCTCATACACAACATGGCCAACATACTCTCATACACAACATGGCCAACATACTCTCATACACAACATGGCCAACATACTCTCATACACGACATGGCCAACATACTCTCATACACAACATGGCCAACATACTCTCATACACAACATGACCAACATACTCTCATACACAACATGGCCAACATACTCTCATACACAACATGGCCAACATACTCACATACACAACATGGCCAACATACTCTCATACACAACATGGCCAACATACTCTCATGCACAACATGGCCAACATACTCTCATACACAACATGGCCAACATACATACACAACATGGCCAACATACTCTCATACACAACATGGCCAACATACACACACAACATGGCCAACATACTCTCATACACAACATGGCCAACATACACACACAACATGGCCAACATACTCTCATACACAACATGGCCAACATACACACACAACATGGCCAACATATCCCTTTCTCCTGGCCTTGTTTCTGTTCATTTCTCATTCTCATTCTTCATTCTGTAATTTTTGTCCACATATCTTTTCCCTGTATGGTGCCTTCTATTGCTAATTACTTCAGTTCATTGTTCATAGTTAAATGGTCTAATATTCTTAGTGAACGTGGTCTGAATTAACTTTCTGGCCCCTCTGTGTTCATCTGTTTCTTTTCGTGTCTCTAATTTGGTTCTCTCTGTTCTATATCACTTTATTTATACTTTCTCTGTCTCTCTCTCTCTCTCTGTCTCTGTCTCTGTCTCTCTGTCTCTGTCTCTGTCTCTGTCTCTCTGTCTCTCTCTTTCTCTGTCTCTCTCTCTCTCTCTGTCTCTGTCTCTCTGTCTCTCTCTCTGTCTCTGTCTCTCTGTCTCTCTCTCTGTCTCTGTCTCTGTCTCTGTCTCTCTGTCTCTGTCTCTGTCTCTGTCTCTCTGTCTCTCTCTTTCTCTGTCTCTCTCTCTCTCTCTGTCTCTGTCTCTGTCTCTGTCTCTGTCTCTGTCTCTCTGTCTCTCTCTTTCTCTGTCTCTCTCTCTCTCTCTGTCTCTGTCTCTGTCTCTCTGTCTCTACTTTAACGCGTCTTCCCTTTTATTTTTTTCGCTGTTTAGATGTTCCATTCATCTCGTAGGACATTGGTTCTTCTTCTTGTTTGAGATTTAGCCACTCAGAACGAAGCGTCCATGTAGCACGGGCTATGGCGAGCCCCGTAAAGGAAATTGCTTTTTTAGCTCGGTTTTTATGTGATTTCTGTCGCCTGCACCTCACTCCCCTCTTAGTCTCTTTCCTGACCTGGTAATGGCTTCCTACCACCCCCCTCAGCACCACTCTTGTGCCAGGTAAGTCCACTACGGGCTCACCATAGCCCGTGCTACTTGCCCCGCTCCTGTGCCAGGTAAGTCCACTACGGGCTCACCATAGCCCGTGCTACTTGCCCCGCTCCTGTGCCTGGTAAGTCCACTACGGGCTCACCATAGCCCGTGCTACTTGCCCCGCTCCTGTGCCAGGTAAGTCCACTACGGGCTCACCATAGTCCGTGCTACTTGCCCCGCTCCTGTGCCAGGTAAGTCCACTACGGGCTCACCATAGCCCGTGCTACTTGCCCCGCTCCTGTGCCAGGTAAGTCCACTACGGGCTCACCATAGCCCGTGCTACTTGCAACTTGTTCCGAGTAGCTGAATCTATAACAGCAGCTTCCTACCCTTCTAGTTCTTAATTGTGGCATTCTGTGCTGGTCTTTGTCTATATGGATCTCTCTGAGCTTCTGTGTAGGTTTCTCTCTATGTCTCTGTGTGGGTTTATTTGTATCTGTGTCTCTTACTGTATGTATTTATGTCTGTTTCTGTTTCTGTGTGTTCCTGTCTGTTTCTCTATCACTTTCCATCTATGTATTTCTATGTTTCTTTTCTCTCTCTCTCTCCGCCTATAAAAAAAGGTACTGTCCTACTCCCCCTTCCATACATCCTCAAAAGAGAGAGCAAGAGAGACAGAGACAGAGACAGAGAGAGAGAGAGAGAGAGAGAGAGAGACAGAGAGCGAGAGAGAGCGAGAGAGAGAGCAGGGGCCACTGTCACACATAAGGAAGCCGGATAAAGCACAAGGAAGTAATCCATCGGTATAACTTAGTTCCTCTGAGGGTTTGAGAGACTTGTTCCATAGGGAAGGAAGTGCCAGGGGCTTCCTCAAGGATCTGGGTTACAAGCTTATCGAAACAGCAAAAGACCCAAAAGCAGCTAGTTTCCTTTTCCAGTGGAGCAGTGTGGTGATTCAAAGATGAAATGCCCACTGCATCCTCTGTTCCTGCCCAGCGTCGGAAGGTTATCTTGAGATGATTTCGGGGCTTTAGTGTCCCCGCGGCCCGGTCCTCGACCAGGCCTCCACCTCCAGGAAGCAGCCCGTGACAGCTGACTAACACCCAGGTACCTATTTTACTGCTAGGTAACAGGGAGCATAGGGTGAAAGAAACTCTGCCCATTGTTTCTCGCCGGCGCATGGGATCGAACCCAAGACCACAGGATCACAAGTCCAGCGTGCTGTCCGCTCGGCCGACCGGCTCCCATTAGCTATATTATTTTATTTAATATTTAATTATTATAAACACGTACTGACACTGGGAGATGCCCACTGCATCTATATATTATATATAATATTGTGCCTAAGAGGCCAAGTTGTCTAACAAGCCGAATTTTCCTTAAAAATATATTTTTCCAAAATTTCTTTTTATGGAATGATTAACTTTTCCATTGCGTCATATATGATTTGATTTTGTTTTGAGTCAAGAGTAAAATGGAAATATGATCAACCCTAACCTAACCAAGTCTGAAATTCACGTTCCTAACATAATATATGGTCAAGAAAGAGAAATTTTGGAAAGACTTGTTTGAAAATAGCTCTGTTAGGCAAGTCGGACGTCACCAAATAATGAGGATGTGTCTATTAACTACGTCATTCCCATGTATAACTGCTATTGTAGAGCAATTACCTTTTCAATAGCACACATTTCAGTTATATCCCATTAACATAAATTCTCTGACAGTGCTCAAAATATCGTCTCCTATCCATACCTATCCACTGTGTAGTGGTGGACCCCATACAGGAGGGCGTAGAGGTGAGAGGGGTAGAGGTAGAGATGAGTGGAGGAGGAGGTAGAAGTGAGAGAAGTAGAGAGAGAGGAATCAGTCACGTGCATCTCACACTCACCTGTAGCTTCTCCCAGCAGCAGCCGCGACAGCGTCACAGTTATAAGCCCTTCACCTTGACCGAGCGTAAGACAGCCCTACAGGAAGACCACAGTGCCTGGGGCCTAGTTGGCACTCAGTGCCTACAGGAGGCTGGCCCATCTGTGGCCCTGTGGTCGACGACACCACCACACAGGCACCACCACAGGTGCCATCTGTGTTGGTACACACGCAACACTCCTTAGCTTTATTCAATATAGCGTTAAAAGGCACTTTATTACATTCCCCACACACACACACACACACGCACGCACACGCAAACACACACACACACACACGCGTCTATATCCTGGCGGTGCTTGCTTTGCAACTCTGATTTGCAGCTACAAGCATGGTTGTGAGGGGAGGGGGGGGGGGGGAGGAGGAGGTAGACGCGCGTGCGGCTGGTGTGAGGTGGAGTGTGAGGGGATTGAGTGCGTGTGTGCGTGCGAGAGAGAGAGGGAGGTGGGTGCAGCAGCAGCAGCGCCCCCGGTGAGCGTGTTGTATGCTCCGTGTTCAGGCTAGCACTGAGTGTGTGTGCCTGCTTCCCTGCCCTTCCCCTGCACCCCTGGCACCTCCCCGGCACCTCCCCGCTCCCCCTGGCACCTCCCCAAGCCGCCCCCCACCCTCCCAAACCGCTCCCCGCCCACACACCCACTATTTAACACATTCAAAACAAACTTAAAATCTGACTTTAACTCTCGCATCAGTGGATATAATTCCCGTGGCTAACTAACTCCCTTTCCTAAGGTAAATGGGGGAAAATAGGTAATTTCCCCTCATTTACCCATCCAAGAGGGGAAAATCCAATATATGGTAATGATCCTTGCAGGTCTTTTCAGACACGGCCCGCAGTGCGTAGGTTGTTCCGTAGGACCCTAGTTCACGGGTCAGGGTTAGTGGGTTAGCTACCAAGAAAGTACAACTAGGTGAGTACACACACACACACACACACACACACACACACACACACACACACACACACACACACACACACAATAGGCTCAGGAATCTGTACACCAGTTGATTGACGGTTGAGAGGCGGGACCAAAGAGCCAGAGCTCAACCCCCGCAAGCACAACTAGGTGAGTACAACTAGGTGAGTACACACACACACACACACACACACACACACACACACACACACACACACACACAGCACCTCAGGTGTCATCTTGAGACACTAGGAGCACAATCTGAGCGCCGTCACCGCTGCTCCTGGAGATAACATTACACCTTCTCACGCAAGGTAAACACTCAACACTCTTCCCTTGCACGCAAGCAGCGAGTGAGAGAGTATTTCCACACACGCAACACTCATACGGCACCTATGGATGTTTGAAACACCTCGTGTGTGTGTGTGGAAATCACGCTCATGTAACACCTGTGTGTGTTTGAAGTACTCGGTCACTTGTGAACGTTTCAATCACTTCAAATGGCACCTATGGATGTTTGCAATACTTTAAATGGCACCTATGGGCATTGAAACCCCTCATATGGCACCTATGGGCATTGAATCACCTCATACGGCACCTATGGGCATTGAATCACCTCATATGACACCTATGGACGTTTGAATCACCCCAGACGGCACCTGTCGACGTTTCATACCGTATGGCACCTTTGCAACATCTCAAATGGCACCTCTAGTCGTTTAAAACGCTACTTATAACACAAGATAACATGTAATAACAACTAAAAAATCTATTTGTAATTCAACAATATATATAATACTTTGTAATCATCCAATACAACGTTTGGGAATGTGTAAACATTGGATTGATATTACGACATCTTCAAAGCGCCTTGTTGAAAACTTCCACACACACACACACACGGGATAAACAATTATGGCACTCCCTGGCACCCCAGACGTTGGCACTGACACCTGGTGTGTGTGGAGTGTGTATTTCATGCCACGCCCGAGCCACGCCTCACTCCACTATCCTGGTTTGTGGCTGTGCTTGGCACTCTCAAGCAAACAATTCCTCTTGCGACGTCATTTGGTGCTTGCAATGTGTGTATGTGTCATAAATTATCTTAAATGATCGACATCCTGCAGGCGAGAGGTCTTGTGTCTGCTGAACAGTGCCTTCAACGAGGCCTTTCCTGCCTCAACCTGGCCCTCAGGGCGTGTTAAGTTGCCTGTGGAGCTCCATTGGTCCTCAGGTAGAGGCAGGAGATAAGGCAGGAGGCACTCACCTTTGCATTCCGTATCAACACGTTGAAAAGGCTTAATTTACATTCTCTGGAAAGGCGAAGAGTTCCGGGTCGTGACAATATGCTAAAGATTTGCTACTTGGAAGTAAGTTCCGAGTAGCACGGGCTATGGTGAGCCCGTAGGCATATAGTGTTCAATTGGTTGAACGGGCATGACAAGGGGGGATATTACTAGGTTATTAAATATATTAACTCTGAATACAGCATGAAATAATGGATATAAATTGGAAAGGTTTAGATTAAGGAAAGCCCTGGATAAATACTGGTTTGAAAATTGGGTTGTGGCTAAGTGGAACAGGTTACAGGCTAACATAGTAGCCGTGGGATCACTTGGTTGTTTCAAGTGTAGGTTAAACATACATGAATGTGTCTGAACAAGAAACTGCCACGATTGGGCAAACTGGCATTCTCCAGTTTCCTTAATTCTTACAATCTTTCTAAGGTTAGGTTATCTTGAGATGATTTCGGGGCTTTAGTGTCCCCGCGGCCCAGTCCTCGACCAGGCCTCCACCCCCCAGGAAGCAGCCCGTGACAGCTGACTAACACCCAGGTACCTATTTTACTGCTAGGTAACAGGGGGCATAGGATGATAGAAACTCTACCCATCGTTTCTCGCCGGCGCCCGGGATCGAACCCAGGATCACGTGTCCAGCGTGCTGTCCGCTCGGCCGGCCGGGTCCTATGAGGATGATAAATTTAGAATAAGAGTTCAGTTGATCCAAGTGGCTGGCTGAGACGTTGACGGAAGGAGACGTGACTTGACCCGTGGGACCTTAACAAAGCTATCTACATCTCAAGGTCCCTACCACCACTCACGACACATGATCCAGCTATCTGTTGTTACTAGCCCCATTGTTCGGTAAATTGGTTGTGGAGCCGTTATCTTGATCCTGCTCCTTGATATCGAGAAGCGCCAGGTACTCTTGTAAGTGTTCCCCACAAGCCTTAAGACACTTTATTTGTAAAGTGTTTCTTGTACTCACTTCAGGTCATAGTGGGTCGTGAAGGTCTTCAGTGTTACCTTACCTTGAGGTTACCTTGAGGTGCTTCCGGGGCTTAGTGTCCCCGCGGCCCGGTCCTCGACCAGGCCTCCTGGTTGCTGGACTGATCAGCCAGGCTGTTAGACGCGGCTGCTCGCAGCCTGACGTATGAGTCACAGCCTGGTTGATCAGGTTGTTCACTCGAGTGACTTCACTAATTCACTCTAATTCACTGCTAAATTGTCACAGTATTCTAAGAGGATTTACGAAACTTGGTAGATGCTCCCTACACTGGTCTACCATGACACAGTAGCTACTGGCAGCCCCCTACACTGGTCTACCATGACACAGTAGCTACTGGCAGCCCCCTACACTGGTCTACCATGACACAGTAGCTACTGGCAGCCCCCTACACTGGTCTACTATGACACAGTAGCTACTGGCAGCCCCCTACACTGGTCTACCATGACACAGTAGCTACTGGCAGCCCCCTACACTGGTCTACTATGACACAGTAGCTACTGGCAGCCCCCTACACTGGTCTACTATGACACAGTAGCTACTGGCAGCCCCCTACACTGGTCTACTATGACACAGTAGCTACTGGCAGCCCCCTACACTGGTCTACTATGACACAGTAGCTACTGGCAGCCCCCTACACTGGTCTACCATGACACAGTAGCTACTGGCAGCCCCCTACACTGGTCTACTATGACACAGTAGCTACTGGCAGCCCCCTACACTGGTCTACTATGACACAGTAGCTACTGGCAGCCCCCTACACTGGTCTACTATGACACAGTAGCTACTGGCAGCCCCCTACACTGGTCTACTATGACACAGTAGCTACTGGCAGCCCCCTACACTGGTCTACTATGACACAGTAGCTACTGGCAGCCCCCTACACTGGTCTACTATGACACAGTAGCTACTGGCAGCCCCCTACACTGGTCTACTATGACACAGTAGCTACTGGCAGCTCCCTACACTGGTCTACCATGACACAGTAGCTGCTGGCAGCCCCCTACACTGGTCTACCATGACACAGTAGCTACTGGCAGCCCCCTACACTGGTCTACCATGACACAGTAGCTACTGGCAGCCCCCTACACTGGTCTACCACGACACAGTAGCTACTGGCAGCCCCCTACACTGGTCTACCATGACACAGTAGCTACTGGCAGCCCCTACACTGGTCTACCATGACACAGTAGCTACTGGCAGCCCCCTACACTGGTCTACCATGACACAGTAGCTACTGGCAGCCCCCTACACTGGTCTACCATGACACAGTAGCTGCTGGCAGCCCCCTACACTGGTCTACCATGACACAGTAGCTACTGGCAGCCCCCTACACTGGTCTACCATGACACAGTAGCTACTGGCAGCCCCCTACACTGGTCTACCATGACACAGTAGCTACTGGCAGCCCCCTACACTGGTCTACCATGACACAGTAGCTGGCAGCCCCCTACACTGGTCTACCACGACACAGCTCGCCCAACTCCAATTCGCCCTAACATCACACTACGTTAACTCAGGCTTATATGGGGGTTATCTTGAGTTGATTTCGGGGCTTAGTGTCCCCGCGGCCCGGTCCTCGACCAGGCCTCCACCCCCAAGGAAGCAGCCCGTAGCAGATGTCTAGCTCCTAGGGGCCAGATTCACGAAGCAGTTACGCAAGCACTTACGAACCTGGGGCCAGATTCACGAAGCAGTTACGCAAGCACTTACGAACCTGGGGCCAGATTCACGAAGCAGTTACGCAAGCACTTACGAACCTGGGGGTCAGATTCACGAAGCAGTTACGCAAGCACTTACGAACCTGGGGCCAGATTCACGAAGCAGTTACACAAGCACTTACGAACGTGTACATCTTTCCTCAATCTTTGACGGCTTTGGTTACATTTATTAAACAGTTTACAAGCATGAAAACTTGCCAATCAACTGTTGTTATTGTTATAAACAGCCTCCTGGTGCTTCGGAGCTCATTAACTGTTTAATAATTGTAAACAAAGCCGCCAAAGATTGAGAAAAGATGGACAGGTTCGTAAGTGCTTGCCTAACTGCTTCGTGAATCTGGCCCTACTACCCCAGCACAGTAATGAACTCTACGGACTCTTCCATCCACATTTAACTCTCCGGTATGCTGGTAGAGTCTGGACTCTACCAGCATACACACACACACACACACACACACACACACACACACACTGCTGGAGAAGATTCTTTTTGCATCTCTTCACAAGCAACGCCAGTGAAATTTATAGTCTAAAGAAGTTGAAGGTTCTAGGCCAGACTGTAGCACACACTACACCCACAC